TTGCGCGACACACTGTATCGACATGATGTACAGTGGGTCGAAGCAAAAGGGCGTGACGCCAAGAGAACCGCAATGAAATCGGCGAACGTCGCTTTCTACCGTTACCAGAATCGTGTGAAATTCGTTGGACGCGATCTAAATAGAAATCATCGATCGGCGAACCGCGAGGGGTAGGCTCGCGCGATTTCTACCGTTACCAGAATCGTGTGAAATTCGTTGGACGCGATCTAAATAGAAATCATCGATCGGTGAACCGCGAGGGGCAGGTTCGCGCGACCATTTGCATCGAAATACAACGCATACGTACGCAAAGGTGACGGGGAGGGATACACGTTCACCGACGAACACACAACCGGAATAAGCCTAAAGTACAGAGGAAAGAAAAATGAGAAAAAAGAGAAATGACGAACACGCTTACTCTGAAAAATATTCGGACACCAGGTATATAAGTTTGCCTTTCTAGCGATGTATTTCGGTTAATTATAAAGCGATTGGATTCGCGTTTTTTCCCTATGAAACGTCATTTATCGTACTTTACGATTACCTATTGTTACCGAACGCATTTTCACATATCACATTCTGCAATACAGATCAACCAAATAATGATCACTTCAAATATTCACGATATTTGAAATATCTTCGATATTTCTGCCGGCGTGGTGGTTGAATGGTTGTTTCGTTAGCATCGGAATATTTTTCAGAGTAAGCGTAGAGTTTCGCAAGGCGAGAAAGGGTGTTGTTTCCATTGATAGGATCGAATTTTCGAGGCGTTGCCCGTACCAGGAAACCGATTTTCTTCGCCCAGGCAGGCGAATTAAATCGCGACGGCTCGGGTCAACGCGTGGCAATAATCGCGACTATCGATGGGGATCCGATTAGCATAAGCGATGTGTGGCGTGCCGTTGGTACCGCCTGTTGCTCCACATTCCCGAGCACACTCGTAATACACGCCGGCAAGGTCCCACCTTTTGTCAAGGATGAAAAATTCCTCGGCTTGGCGACCGCGCGGCCCCTAATTGCTCCGCACACTTTTCCCAACGTCGCCAATTAAATCCCTCGCGTCTACGACACCAGCGATGCCTTTGTGGAAAATTCGAGACGAGACATTCGAAATTCCAAGGGAAAAGTTTCAATCTTGTTCAAATCGTATCTTCTAATACAGAACACCCGAGAAAACGCAATTTTTCCGGAATTCTTTCATCTAACGGGTGTTCCAATTTTTCCCCACTTGCTCGTTTTTTTTTTTTAACCCTTTGCACTCTTTGAGACGACTAAGAAGCGACACTGCTATTATATTTACAATCTCGTAAATAATTAATGGAGGCACCCCTAAAGCTAATATTTCCAGGACAGCAGGTTCACCATATGTTATAGGTCTCAGGATCTTGTATAACAAAAATACATTATATATCGAAGTAAAACAGTTATATTCGTTAACACGTTAAGCGCCGTGTCAGTCGCCGGTGACTGACGCTACACTTTCCGTTCAGGCCGCGTCAGTCACTGTTGACTGACGATATACAATTTAAAAAATTATATTCTTCGATCAATAAATTTTAAATAATTTGGAGATCATAAAAGAATGTACCTAAATATCACTTGTTAGCAAAAAAAATTTTAACGAGTATTATTAAAACACATGCAGCTATTGAAAAAACACACCACAAAGTTGTATTCGGTACCAACAAAGGTAAGATTTCGTTGGTCACGCAGTCTTATCGCAACCTTACACAGATCTTCGGCCGCCAGCATATCGGTGAAATCGGATATCGCGGGCTAAACGGAAAGGAAGAACAAGACAGGCTTGGCGCTTAACGTGTTAATATATATATATATGGTTTATTTTTATGCTAGTTTAAAAAAATTTCATTAATTTTATCGAGCAAACAAGCTCTAATTTTCTATTTCCTTATGGAAACAGAAGGCCTTCGAGTGCAAAGGGTTAAAAGTTTGTCTCTCGAAGAAGTACAGTTGCGACAAGTTCGACAATTATTCGGCGCGATAAGAGGAATATTTCCATTTCCACGAGATCTTATTTCGGTATTTTGTCATCGCGCTGGATTGCATAATCTCACGGCGCGCGTCGCAAATACAGAACCGACGTCGTTCACCCCTTTATTTCCACACGTTTGGCGAGCGAAACGTCGGAGAGTGCTTCGGTCACACCCTGTATATACGAGTTATTGCTCGAACAACGAGAAACAACCGATTCGTCTCGTAATATTCGCGTGTCTTCGTGCTCTTAATGAACAATAGCTCACGGGGTAATCGTGACACGTTGTTCCAGGAACAATTACGCAAGAAATTATGTAAATGTTGTTATTCGAAGCGCGTTTAAAGCACGGGGCTAATCCTTCGTAACCGCGAATACCGTCGAAATTCTTTTCGTTATCGTTACCACCCAGCCACGGTGATTTAAAATATTTGTCGGCAAGCTCGCTAATTAATTGGACATCGAAACGGAGAGAACGATTCGGTGGGTAGGAAAAAAGAAATCGCGGTATAACGGGTGAATACGTATCGCCAGTCATTTTTACGGTATCCACGAATTTACGAAGCATGGAACCAATCTCTCTCTCTCTCTCTCTCTCTCTCTCTCTCTCTCTCTCTCTTTAGGACGTTCTAATAAACGCATTGACTGTTCCCTTACATAATTGGAAAGCGCGCGCGTGATTTTCGTGTTATAAAACTGCATTAATAGGACGGCAATTAAAACGTTAATGCCCACTGAGCAAGTTAAGTGCTGGGGAATTAGCGCAATAAACTCGAACCTCTGTTCGGGCCGCGGCGGGGCCCCACACCGTGTTGTACCTTTCCACGATTAATTATAAATCAGCAATGATCGTGGACTCGGTTGCAAATTTTCGTCTAATTAGAAAATGTTCCTCTTCGTGGGATGCTTTTTCCCTCGTTCACCGAGACAAGTATCCTTGCCTTGTGGACACTTCCGATGGTATTGGACTTCATTTTCTACTCCGCTCGTTCGTTCGCTGAAAATTCATGGAAAATTTCATCCTTCTGAACGACGAATTTTTTCCGACTTTTTCTTCCCCCTTTTCTTATTGGTGCACACTTTCTCTCTCTCTCTCTCTCTGCTCGTCTCCTATATTTAGCACGGATAGAAATTGAAGAGGAAAGAAAATCATATCGTGAGATATGACTCATACAAGCTCTCCCTCTCCCCCGGTGTTGTATGCAAAATCACGGAACATTTGCATCACTCATAAATTATCGTTGGTCGTTTCTATTCGTTACACCGTTATCCCGACGATCTCTCTGTTGCCCACGTGTAATGCCGATACACACTTAGAATTGCTGCTCCGCTCCTAAAATTGTTCCATTCAGATTTCTCAACGATCAGTTCCCTTGAAATATATGTACGAACAAGTGTGTAAAATTTCGAACGCCTACTCTCTCGACGGTGTCTCCCCGGGCAATATACCGGGTGTGCGAAAAAGTTTTGGGCAAAATTTTGAGTGTAGATAGTGTAGGAAAAAGGAAGAAGAAAAGTTCATATGAATGTGTGTCCTAAAACGCGTTTTTATGGGGTAAATTTGTGCGTAGACTGTCGTACGCGTTGAATCTGACGGAGTACACTTCGGATACGCATTCTTTTTCGCGTTGATATTCGTTTCTGGACATACGTTGATATAAACTTTTTCTCTTATTTCGTCACGTAGAACTTACATGCGAAGTTTTGCCGAAACGTTTTGGTACACCCTGTATATCGATGTACAGGTTGGAAAAGGACGATTCGAGGTGGGTAACAAAATTTTCTCATCGAAATTATACTATTTTATTATCATTACTCTTCGAGTATATCATACTCTTCCTTTTGTTCCTGTTGCGATTATCATTGCAACGTTCGTTGCATTTTTTCGAACTTGAATTTCAACGATACCGCGTCGATATAACGAATTTCTTCACAAGCAGATTTTCTCAATGGAAGAAATTCTATTTCTCCTTTCGTGTAGAATCGTCAGTTTTTAGGTTATACGACCAATTACACGACACCCTGTATATCGATAATGCTCGATAAATATATATATATATAGATTGATTAAATATAGATAGGCTAGAAGACCCCGTTTAGAGTAGGACTAAATCCTTTCTCTCTCATAATCTCCTCCCTTTCCCCTCGTGAGTAGCGTGCCGTGTGGCTGCACGTGACCACGGAGCACGCGTGACACGTGCACGCATGCCAGACCTACAAAACGGCCTGTCAGTAGGTCTGGCCACGACCAGAGGCGAGGAAAAGTTAGAAAAGGCTTTGCGAAACCGGCGGAATTGCTTGTGCCACTGGTCGCAGCGCGCCGTTTGACCTTGGTCGATGCAGCGCCCCGGTAAAAGTGGTGTACGTGTTGAAACAACACGCGGAGATAGTTTCCAGCGTGTCCCCGCTTGTTTACTTATTGCGATTTGACGAGTACTTACGTTACGATGCACGAAAATTCGGGACACAACTGGGTAGGGGAAGTAGCTGTTTCACAAACAATTGATGCGCATGCGCAGGGGAAAAGCACATGGTGGCTAGCAAGTTCGAAACGACAGTCGAATAATATTGTTGGTTTATCGATATATATACACGTGTGACAGGGTTGTATAGAAGTAATAATGACAAACATTGTAGTCGATGTTTGTCAACTTGATTTAATCAAGTCAGTGCAAGTGTTTGATCCTTGTTTTTTTTTTTAAATCGAGAGCTTCGTTGAACGATTCCTGAATTTTGTCTAGCGTAGAATTAACGTAGCTCCACCTAGTGATTTTAGACTGTACTAATAAGCACCGGTGTCCTTGAACTGTAGGATACTGTTTACAATTCCGCATCTTTTTTCTACGTAACTCTGAAGAGCGACGTTAAAACATCGAAACGATTTAGTTAATGAACGTTTTATATCGAATTTATGTACACTTTTTGTTCTTGTATACTTTCCGAATTACGACATCTCGAGTAACTGCGTCAGTTATACGAACGGGTTTGTTCCGTTTTCTGTTTACAGAGAACCTGGCGCCATCGGAGCTGAAGAAGTTGAGAAACAAACAGAGGAAGCAACGCAGAAAGGCTGAATTAGAACGACAACAAGCTGCCCAAGCACAGGAGAAGAGGGAACAGCACAATAAGTCGCGGCAACAAACCGATCCAGATTTAGAGCAGCCGACGTTAGACGAACTTATACCGGAGAAATTGGAGAGGGTTAGTAGAACGATGTAAATCCGCCATGTTCGTAATTCCCGCGTTAATTCGAAATCGAGTCGAGCTGAACGATTGTTTTTCAGGTCGAGGACCCGCTAGAGCAGGCAATCAAATTTTTACAACCGTTGCAAGAACTAGCGTCGAACAGAATAGAGACGCATCTGATGGCATTTGAAATCTACATTCGTAAAGGTGCGTATTAATTGAAATTCACTAATCTGATCGTTGATCCTTAATTTTCGAACCACCTGAAGTTGCAGTCGTTAGAATTTGTCCAGTGAAGTTTTTTTCTTTAACCATTTCTTGACCAGTGGAACGTATATGTTCCACTTGATTACTCGAAGAAATATTTATCTCGATTTAGTTATTCATTACAGATAGGTAGGTAAATAAATTCTTTAAGAGAGAAAAAAAAAAAAGAAGAATTCGGTTACGAAATGGTTAAGAAACACGGTAGATCCCACGTGGAACATAACCTTAATCGTATTTATAATAAAAAATCGACACAAATGAATCTTGCGATGCTTAAAGTTGACAAAACGTTTCTTGCAGGTCGTACGTTACTGATGTTAAAGTCGATAAAACGTGCACACGATCTAGACCCGAACAATCCTGACCTGCACATGTGTCTAGTACGCTTCATGTTGCACACCAGCCGTTCACCTCTGGAGGGACCCGTGGGCGAAGTAGTGAAACTGCAAACGGTGGGCATCTACTCGGCACCAACGGCCACCCAGTTGAACGCGGAATTCCTGAAGAAGAATCGAAACTCACTGCCTCATCAGCTTCAGGGTGCAAAGATGCTTCACGTCCTTGACCCGTCCGCTCAATCGAAAGCTCTCTCTCTGATCACTAGCATCGATGATCTCGAAGGTGTAACACTGCAAAATTGTACAAGGGTGTTGGAATCGTTGCGTAACGGTGACTTTGGCCATTGCGACACAACAATCACCGAATACATGGCGAAATGCCATAAACGCTTCCCATACGCGACTGCTTTTCGACCGCCAGAATCAAGCACCGACCGCAAGCATCAAGAGAAAGAGAATTCCATCAAGAACTGATCCAGGCACGCGCTGTCCAGCGTCACTGAATTACTACGTGGACGACGAGGGGGCAATGGAGGAGGTGAAGAAGGAGAAGGAAGAGGAAAAGGTGGTGGAGGAGGAACTGTGTGTTGAGCTCTGCGTTAAGGAAAAGGGAAAAAATATAATAATAAATGAAAACTAACGTCGAATGCAAAACGAATGAACGCGAACGATAACGATGAACATATATAGTGAAAGAAGTAAGCGAAATTGGCGGATTTAAGATTGATAATTATTAAACATGTATTATACACGAACTGTTCCTGGAAGGGGTTTCATGTAGTGTGTACAGTGCTGGGACAGTGCTGGATAAACAATCTTTAATAATAAATTATAACATTAACCGGGCGCGAGATTTAACGCCCACCGACGTGGTCCCGAATTTTAGGTGAACGAAGAAAAGGATGGCTTTAGCTAAATATTAATTAACAATTGGAACAGAATGGAGGGATGGGGTGGAGTACTACAGTGTGTAAAATATATGACGTGCGTAAACTAACACATTGGTACAAAATACAAGACTTGTATACATTCATATGCGCGCTCTATGAATATTTCTACTTGATGTTAAGGTGTACTATTTTCAGCGATGTCTACATAAATACTCTACTGTGTAGAGTTTGAAAACTAGACGATCATCGAGCACCAATAATTGTACCACGCATGTTCGTCGCTACATTTGAGAATAGACTTTGTTCCAAGTCGTATACTAACTTCTCTAGTTCACTTCATTCGCAGAAAAGAAAAAAAAAAAAGAAAATAAAATAATACAAGAACCGTTCAACAAACTCGTCAAGTGAACGAACACGATCTAACGTTTTCCTTTTAGAAACATGATTTTATTCCTCTGTTTAAAGCCAGGGTAATGATCTACGTTTGGATTGGAGCCCTGATATTCCATCGAGAGAGCAGTCAATACGGAAGTAGTGTCCATTTGCGAAAGTCTCTGTGAAAGTTACTATAAGAACAATAAAAGTGCGTATTGTGTACGCAGATTACCAAAGTATATGATAAAATGAAAACAAAAAGTATCGATAGCAAAACAAACGAAAAAAGAAAGGAAGAAAACAAATATCATACATCTGTATGTCAACGGATTACAGAAATTTTAATAAAAAGTAATGATTAAATTTACCGGTATAAATCGAACGATGTTATGATTACTTCGTTTATTTTTTTTCTTTGAAATACCAATACACACTTACAAGTTATGTAAGTTTCCTTGAATGAAAAAAAAAGAAACGAAAAAAACAGAAATCCAATAAGATGCAGTTACTACAAACTAGTGATAATGTTTGTACATATTTCAGCTAATACATAAACAATATATATATATATATAAACAAATACACACACTCATTCACGTTACACCACACATTCTCTCTCTCTCTCTCTCTCTCTCTCTCTCTCTCTCTCTCTCACACACACTCTCTCCCTATCTTATTTAAGTATCTTATTACATAGAATATAATTTTGCGATTAGTTAATATTATGCCAATGTTGAAAGCTCACTCAAAGACAACTTAATGGTAATCGTAAGAATAAGATACTTGCATCAACTGATATTCACAATAATTAACGTTTCGAGTTGCTCGTAACGTATATCGGATGAAAATTTCACTGCGTACGTGCAAAATTGATCGATGGAATAATCTTCTATGAAAATATGGTAAACGCGAATATTGTTTAATTATATACCTTCTGTAAATGCATGGAATGTGTCTCAGGGCTACGTAAATAATATCGTAACGTAAGCGATAATGTAGATGATTTACTCGTTCATTTTACTCTTAGTCATTTAACTATTATACGATGCAAAAAAAAAAGATACGATACGATCACATATGATACTAGTCTATCGACATACAAAGTCTTCTCTTTATAAACGATTTTAGTGAAAATGCAATTACCATACATCATTCACGTTACACCAAGTTTTCGACCATGCATCTACCGAAGCGTTGCTGTGTTATAATATTGTTTTTGTTCTTTTTTTTTATACATTATCTACAGTACGCTTGAAGTTTTGCATAATTATTACATTTTGGATATATATATATACATATAATATATACATTAGTTGCTCCAATCTTTATCGGAGGTTGTTACCTCAGTATAAAAAATTCTATTTCGCTCACAACTATTTATCAAATCTTTGAGAAATAAATAATGTTGATTAAGGATTGTATGTCAATTTTTAGAAGGTTCAGTTCAGATTTGCCTTTGAGTCCTTGATTCGATCGTATGAGCAAACGATAAACAGGGGTACCATAACCCACATCCTCTTCCATCTCCTCGTGTAAATGAATTCGTCATATAGGATTAATCTAACGTTTTTAATGTATACGATTAACTTCTAAGTCGACTTGTTATTCTAATTAAGGAAAATTAAAGCAACGAACAAATTATTATTTATAAAACATTTCGATTATTTATTTAATCATTGAATTAGTAACTTACTGCCATTTGTAATAAGTTGTTGTTATATTTTTTGCAATATTTACTTATAGAACAAATAGTTTATTGCGAGTTTTAGAAACAACAAAAATTATAAACTAACGCAAATATTCATTTAAAGCAACAATTAAGCTAATTACAATAATATGTAAAAAATATACAAGCATCTTCACGACACAAAGTACTTTCCTATATGATGAATTCAATCACCATGTGTAATTACTTTATGTAACTTTCCTCCATTATAGTGGTGACTACGAATGTAAGTGGAGTAATATTTTAAAAACAAGAACTGGGATATGTATAGTATGTACATAAACGTATTATCATTATCACATATGTTCAATTTCTCTTTATTGTTACATTAATAACATGTCAACATAAAAATATTATATGACACATCAACAATCATCCTTGCTTCAGACGTTTTGGAAAAATGCTAAATACTTGTTACATATTTCTATCATGCCATACATTATTGTACCACTATTTACCTTGTACAGCAAATAGTTTGCAATACAGTTGCAGACAATATTATCTTACTCATGCATAGTACCTTTGTATTATTGCTAAATTTCTTCGCTTTCTGTACATTATTTTATTTATTTTCCATAATTTTATGATGTTAATGTTAAAGTTGGAAATAATCAGGTCTGTAAAAATTTTAAATGGAAATGGTCCAAAAGTCAATTTTACATGTACATAAAAGTGACCAATTTTTTGAGTACATCAGTATCCAGCAATTTCACGAGCCATGTTTGTGTTACCGAACAATTAATATTAGTTACAAATTTAAACCTTCAAAATGTCATGAAAGAAATGAAATAAATCATGAATACATATACAAGAAAACTTTTTACTATGAACATTACCATTCTTGTTACTTACATTATATTTGTTGTAAGTATAGTTAATCATCACAATTATTCGGTCCGTCCACATCAATCGCCGTAAAGTCAATTAATAAATTTTTATTTGGAGTATATTGACTAAAAAAAGATTTTTAATGGATATTACAAATATCAAAAATTTATGATGTTATTAAATTTAAAAGACATACCTATCAATTCAATATTATAAATGTATTTAATGCCAAGAAAATTTAAAGATATACTTTGCACATATTAAAAGATATGTATTAAGAATTGTTTAAAATCAGGCAACCTTAATTTTAACAAATTATATTTAACAATACAAGTAAACTCTTATCATGCATTCTGACATTTATATAAGTTTAATAAAAATAAACACAAACAAGTAAAATACCGGCATTCAACACCTGCTGTTTCAAACATCCTTCTTGCAGCTACAAATTTAGGTTTTCTGTTTTTTTTGTCTGACACATATTTGACTAACTTTATTCCAGATTGTATTATTAGTTTGGCACATTCATTACATGGGTGAAGACTAACATATATAGTGCAATTTCTCAGGTCACAACAGGTCTTATTCATAATAGCATTAAGTTCTGCATGACACACTGTAAATTTTATGCAATCATTATAAGAATGTAATATTAAACTAAATTGTATCATTCAAACATGACTATCTAATTTAAATTTCATTGGAATTATTTCTGAAAATGAAGAAGCTGTTATTGACTTACCATAATGTTTCTTTTCACTTTTAGTCCACGGCAAACTATCACATTCAGAAGGCATGTCATTATATCCAACACCTACAATCTTGTTCTCATTATTTACTATACATGCACCAACTTGAGTAACAGGATCTTTACTACGTTGTCCAGCCAAAAAAGCTACACCCATGAAATAATCATCCCAACTTATGCATTGCCTTCTATAACAAAATAATACAGAAAGCATGTTACATCGAGTAAATACTTACTTCAAAACAAGTCGCTATATCATATGTAGGTGACATACCCGTTTTCATCCATGTTAACTTCTACTGACACTCTTATAATTTTCACCAAATTTTATTTGTGATAAATAAATACGTGTTATAAATGGAAGTATATGTATATGTACAAAGAAAATAACTAAAAATTTATTCTATTTAATAATAGCAAATACTTCACACCATTGACATATGAAACATCTTTTTGCAGACGCACATATTTATAGGTGCAGTCCTCACCCTGTCAACTTTGTATAATCTTATTAATCATTGTAATTAACGATAAGTACTATCAGAGAAGGTTGATGTTTCTAATACATGATTTGTAAATTATAAGCATTTTCTTTTTAATTTTTATAGGTTAACTGAGTTGAAGTGGCACGTGTGTACTCTGATTTTGGAGGGAAATTTAACGTGTACGTAATATACAATGCATACAGGAAATGCAGAAAAGGAATTTTTATTATCTACAGTTGGTTGAAAGGAATAATAAATAAAATTTATCATCAGTTACGTGTATATGTAGTTGTAATTTCTTTATTTAATACTAATCTTACCTAACTTATTTATCTATTAATCTTACTAATCTTACGTTCTGAAGTACCGACCGTGTCAAAAATCAGAGTTTTTCTTATGCCCTCTACGCTATAAAGTGGTGAGTTTAGGAATTACATACAATCCAACCATCAAAGATGGTAAAATCGACAGGTGTAAAAAATCCTCTTTTATTAAATTTGCATATAAAGATATATACATGTATTGGATTGCTTGGGTACAACTGTTAACGACCTTTTGACAGCAGTAGAACACGCACATGTGATGAATCATCTACTAATAAACAATTACGTTACTTTTTTATTTGTAATTTCATAATTACGTTAAATTCCAATTCCAACCAGTACTAATGTTGTAATCTTATTCTACAGGGTGGTTCACGCAACTGTTACATGTTATAATTCCGTTACCAGTACAGTTATATGATAAGATAAGCACATCACTGTCAAATGTATATTTAAAAACATGCAGTTGTCATATTTTAATCATTTCAAGAATATCTGAATTGTTAATTAAATGACAATGATAAGCGTAATTTAATCTCTTTTAAAAATTTATCGAAATTACAACTGATAAGAAAGTTTAAATTCATTACTAAAAATAATATCGTGAACAAAGGGAAAAAAGTATAAGACGAACTTTTACCATCAAATTAATCTGGAAAATAGTCTGATAAAAATAATTTTGTTTCAAGGTATGTTCAATAAAGTCTGTAATAAACTGTGCATGACAGAACTTAGGATAGATTCCTTAGACATGACAACGATAGTTCCTGGTACCGATAGATCATCGTTTCAATCTTAAATCCACTTATCGTGGAATTTCCTTTATGACCGTCCTTAATCATTCTAAGTTAACCAACTCTATCACGATATTTCAATTTTTCAATCACCGTGTTTGTCTGTTATTTTGCAATCAAATTTGATTTTAAAGTACGTTTAAGAAGACGTATCTTCGCGAAGAATGTTATACGACATATTACCATGACAAACTAGACAAGTGGAATACAGATACTAGTCAGGCATGTCGCACGAGATATAGGTAAAGATGTCAATATTCTGCGACATGTTTCGTGATTCTTCCAATAGTCGAGTTTTGCTCTCTAGATAATGATATCATTTACCGTAAAAGTTGGTGTGTCCGTGAAACATGGTATCGATAATTTATAAGTGGAATTACTTTGCTAAAAATGGAAAATGTATCGCTTTAATACGAATCGTTTTTCCATTTAACATTGATGCACTTCTTGCATTGGTAGTTTTCCGCTATGAACAGTAAATATATCCTAAATACTTTTAGTTACGCATTTTCAAGAGAGCAAAATTATTATTATCATGTACCAACGCCTTATTTTTATAAATGGCGATTTATCCTAAATTATCTAAATAATAAACGAGATAAAATACGCGGAACCCCAAGTTGCTAAAAGCTTTTTTAAACGGCTGCTACACAAATGAGTACGCTTGGGCGCGGCACTGTAGACACGTTTTTCAACCCCCAAGTATACTTAGCGCTCCCTGCAAAAAGGGCTAATAATTCGTGGATTACGACACCCTTTGCATAATCAGCAGGTTGTAATTAGCTTCTGCGTTAATTTGTGAAATAACAAACAGTTGAAAATAATCATGCCGTACATGCCTTCTCTTATCAATATTAAATTCTAACGATAATAGTGTTATATTACACGTTAAAGTATTCTAACTGTATCCAGCAACGAGCGACAAAACTACTGTCTTCAGTTCACGCTTATTCTAGTCTCGAACACGCCATAATATTTCACGATACATCTATGCGTGTCAGAGTGCAGCTACTGAATGAAAAGAAGTTTCTTCCGCCAGAGCGACGTGGCTAATAAAATAACTCGCAGGATCGTGAGGTTATTCCTCGGGGATAACTTCATCACACCCTCTGAATTTTCTTTACGCACAATGCATTACCGTTTAATTGTAACAACTCTGTATCCCCGCTGTAGATATTCCTCTTCCCCTAACCGTTCATCATATATTCAATCAGTAACCACTGAAATTTTGTATCTCCCTTTCACAAACGACGTACAGATGTCACGACTATATAATGGATTTACCAATCAATTTTCTGCATAGTCCACAGTTTCCTTAGTGATATTTCTCATTTCACTGGTAGAGAGAGAAAGAGAGAAAGAGAGAGAAGGAGGGGAAGCAAGTTAAATGCTTTGCATGAATTCAAGAACAAACTCGAACCGTTATCGGGTTCTCGGGGATATCGAGCGTGAACAACACCACGCAACACACACACAGAAAAGAATCGAATTTCTCGACTGGCACGGTGACGCGGCGATAAACGGCCGCGACGATGCCAAAAAGTTGGTCCAGGGAGGAGGACCCGGAGGATAATATTCCTGGCCAGCAGAGAACGGCGAGTATTGATTAAGGGGTTTGCCGGGAGGTATCCTCGTAGTCGAGGGGGATTTCCTCTGTGAATGCGCGCGTGACTGAATTGGGGGTGTTTGGCCGACGTACTTGCTCTGGGGATCGCACGCAGTGGGTGCGTGCGCGGCGCATGCGCATCGCTACTCTATGTTTGCACGCATGCACATCTTTCTTTACGTATTTACAGTGCACGGTTGCCGAGCCGGTACGCATTGGCGGCTTGCACGTGGGGTTCCCCGGTGATAGACGGACAAAAGAAAGGGGAATCGAGCCGTGTAAAACCACGATAGTGTTAAAGACAGACAGAAAAGAAAAGAAAAGATATTGGAGAAGCAAGGCAACGTCGCGTTGCGGTGTAATTTCTTTCGGCTAATATATATATTTATATGTTCCTCGCGGGACTCTCTCACGTGAGCACAGGCCTATCTGTCTTCGTCGAAATCGCGGGATTTATAACGAGTATGGATCTCTCTGTCGTGACTCGCGTACCTCTCGTGCGACGTTTACTACGCCAGTACATGAAATAACACAATAGCAGCCGTGAGGCGTTCGTAGCGTAGCGGCCACTGGAGAAATAGCAAGAGGCTCGTCCGTCTCGGTAACACCTCCTTCTCGCTCTCCTTTTTATTTCGCATCGGTCCGTCTTGCTCTCTCGTCGCCACCGCCGCTTCCCTCCCTCTCTTTCACGCCGGGCACCGGCAACACAGAACCGGCACTGGCACCGAAGGGCTGCAGTTGCGATCGGATGATCGACGAGTACGTGTCTGTTGTATCGCGTTGTTGTGTGTTCGCCCGGAATGTCAGGTGCCTTCTCGATTCCTCTCGTTGTCTGTTCACGGTGAATCGAAGCGACAGCGGGGCTGGAGCTTGCAGAGTAATCTACGGAAAACGAGCGATGTCCACAGAGATCGTACAGGTAAGGGGACATTTTTATTCTATGGGAATCGTGTAAAGGTATCAGTGGTTAGGCTGCCGGTTAGTTCGATGGGACGGTTCGACAGCAAGCGACGCGTGTCGAGAAGTTTACGTTTGTTTCTGGGAAAAGTATCGCAAGAAAGGAAAAGCCAATCGGTGAATGTCATCGAGCTGTTATTGAACGTGTTTCTTACGTTAATTTTGGCTGTCTTCGATGTGTAATGGGATTGTGAACATAGCAGTGAACCATTTTACGTCTTACGTCGCGAACGTACAATATACGATGTACCTCTTTATAGTTGTCACAGACAAGAAGTGATACGCAGGGGTCCAGACACACGCCTGGCGATTCTTTCTCAGACTCGATCGATATTCACAACTGACTTGTAAACGATTAATCGACCAGTGGTCCAACACGAGGTGCTTGACACCAAGAAAGTGGTAATTGTAACAAGAGTAAAAGTTATCTCGTTGACGATCACCCTTTTATTCACGCGACAGAATGTTTCGAAGCAAATTGAATGCAATTGAAGCGAATTACAAGGAATTGCCAACTGTACGGGATCATTGGAAAACGCGTGTTGCGTATACGCAGACCTATGGTCATGTGTGGATATTAATTGACATACGACGAAGCATCGTTATCGTTGCTTCGCAGTTAATTTATTTACGCTGTAGCTTGTTTGACAGCGGTCGTCGTGTGAAAACAATAGCTGCAATCTGGTCCCCACGTGCTTATCCATTATTTGAGTTGAGGCCTCGCGTACACTTTATCAACATTCATTGCTGCCAAGTGTTTACATCTTTTGATAGGGGACCACGCATTGATTGGTGCTAATTGTCATCGGTTCGCCGCTTATTATCCTCTTTCGTACGGTCTGTCCATCTTTACCGACGCAATTGAGCTATTGAGGGTTAAAAGGAGGAAAAGGATTGGCGTTAATAAGTAGTTCTCTTCTTTGTCGCGCGTACAAGGAAAGTTCCTAACCTCTAACGAAACTTGTTTCGACTATTTCGCAAGTGTTATTTGTATCGTGTTACACATGTATTTACATATAGTTATCGACATGTGTAACGGTTTGTAAAAATAGTGTTATTACATCTGCATGCTCTATCGAACATCGAACACATATGATATATTAAATTTTGTCACGTATCGTATGCCTTACCAGGCAATCAAGCGACTGATACCACGAGTAACTGATCTGACACGATCAGAGAATATTCATTATATAATATTTTTACTGCAAACGTTTATCAGCCTTTTCAAACGTATATACGTATATTTTTTTATCGACGTTTTTATCGAAAACAAAAATTACACCGACGTTAAATATAGCACTCGAACTGTTACTCAGGGAAAAATGACGGGAATTAATAACTGTTTTAAAGTTTAACCGAACCGACAGTTCTACGTAGAAAATCCTCGACGAAATATAAAATCCCATTCCTATCCGAATGTGTCACGCAACACGAAACTGAAGGGTTAAAAAAAGATTCCTCGCGACACATGCGAGATCTGCTGGATAATTCAAAGGTAGATTGATTTCCTTTCGGCCATGAACACGTGGAGAATTATCACGGATCACGAGAAGACGCGAGCGATACGGTAATAAACGAATTTTAGGGGGAACAGAACCAACATTTTGATTTTTAGGTTATATTCGTGAAGATCGAATTTTTACGAATACACTATCTCGTAAATTTCTTAATTCGATAGTTGGTCAATTTGAAAATTGGGAATTCGTTACTTTGTAAATTCGAAAATACGAATATTTGAAGATTCGAAAATTTGAAAATTAGAATGTTTGAAGATTTGAAAGTTTGAAGACTCGAAGATCTGAATATTCGATGATTCCAAAGTTTAAAAATTTGAATATTTCAAGATTCGAAAACTTGAAAATTCGAAAGTTTGAAAATTCCAAAAATTAAAAAATTTCATAAATCATGCTTCCATTAAAGCTTCGAAGGTGTCTAATCGTTCTACGATAAACGAAGTTCACCTTTTTTCCACATCTTCGAATCGAAAAGCTCCTCTCGAAGGGGACAGAAAAATTTCCGAATTCTGCCTGGCAGTTTTTCGGATCCTCCAGGTATATACGTAAGCCCGCGTTAAACGGTATTTGCTCGTGGTGCTCGGTGCGACATAAAGTCATTAAAGAATTTCTAAGGCGTCGGACAACGGCCTGCCTCCGCGAGCCTCATTACGCTGCACAAGCGAGCGCACTATGTATACGTGTAACAAGTACACGAAGTTCGTCTCCTTCTGTAATTGAGGTTGCCTTTAAACGCGGTCGACGCGACGCTGATAAATTACTGGGACAAATGTTTGACGTGCAGCCCCATGGTCAGGTCTGGAAATTCAATTTCTCCTTTACCTTCTGACCTATCGCATACAGGGTGGTGAAAAAAATAGAAAAATCTGCGCAACGATAAACTCGTTTTCTTTACTTATATCACTTGTAAACTTTTGAAATCTCATCTGTTCGATTTACGAAGCAAGTGCGATGAAATCACGAATGCAGAGATTCTACTCGATTTATTTGTAAAATTGTTCAGATAAAATATGAACTTTTTTTTTGCAAAGAATCAAATAAGAATTTTCAGATGTTAGGTTAGATTCGATCGTAATTTTGTCATTTCTCGTTCTTCACTCACGTGAAACATAGGGCTGTAAACACTTTGATTTTCATGAAAATTATCTTGGAAGATTATTCCGATAAAATACGAACTTTCTTTTTGCAAAGAATAAAATAAGAATTTTCAGTTGTTAGGTTAGGTTCGATCGTAATTTTGTCGTTCTTCATTTACGAGAAACATAGGGCACATTTTGACTTTCATGAAACTTATCTTGCAAGATAATTCACGAAAAATAATATTTCACACGTACCTTTTATGTTTTTATCCACAATTTTACTTCCTGAAAGTTGAAACTGTGCTTAAGGCGAATTTTGGTTGGGACCCGTCGGTAAGGCGAATCCCTGCCCGCAATCGGCAGGCTGATTTTCAATTGTTCTAGAGACAGATCCGTTTTTCCAACGGCGCTTTGATCCAATGTAATCTTATTAAGAATATATCTATACTAATTCAGTATATCTTCGCGTTTATATTTCCAACGATATCCAGCACCAGAAAATAACAATTTTATCGATAGAACGCGCTGTATAGTAGGTGGCTGGTTATGGGACCCGGCGAGGAATAATTCTAAAGCTCGGTAATGCTCCGTTAGCGGTAATAAGATTGGAGTAATAAGTAATAGTTTTGGAGCGTGACCATTCGCGAGCTCGTGTGGTTACGTGCGATGAGCTACATGACGTTCCACTAATCCCAGAGTTCTGGCGCGGCAACGATTGCTCTTCTAACGTGGAGATTCTCGAATTTTCGATTAAATTCGCGGAGTAATGAAATTTCGGGGATCGAGACACACACCTTTTCGAATATTTCTAGAACTACAGGGCGTAGGAGAAAACTCTTTTTTTTTTTAACATAGAAGTGATTTTTAAAATTGATTTTACCGACGATATTTTGAAGCTTACAATTTTGTAAATTTATTTTTAGCTTTGTTTGCATGCTCAAACACACATTTGTATTCAAGACCGAATATTACATACGTTTTTCGATAAATCATTTCTGACTTCATTTTTTACGTTCTTCAGATTCTGCCTGTTGAAATTCGCTTCTTTGGGACAAATTAGTCCGGTCCCAAGGAATCCACTGTAATACAATTTATTTCTACGTTAGTTTAAAAAAACTTCAAAGAACAACTTTTTGCAGCAAAAAGACCTCCGAGTGCAAAGAGTTAATAGTTCCAATGTAGGTACTTAAAAATACCTACTCAACGGTACCAGGTTAGTACACTCGTCAGAGACGATACAAATTTAAAGGGGGGAAAGGTCAATTAAACACGAACCCTGTGATTCAGAGGTTGAAGCTCGATCTGAGAGACGCTTGCACTTCAGCATGCATCTAAAATTCTCTGTCGCATATCTTCCGGCGTTGTTGGAGGTTCTTTATAGACTTTTTCCTTCGATGCACCCCATAGAAAGAAATGCTCAACCATTACTCTAACATTTCTTAACCGTTTACGCGAGTGCATTGCTGCTAGTGGCCGCCATTTTGAGGATCGGTTCAGTTAAGGTAAATGATATTTTTCGGATGTTTCTTTTAGAAATACTTTTCATGGTGCTTGCCGAATTCGTCTCGGTATCTCCTAAAAGATGGGTGTAAAAAAATTGTAGGTTTACCTATAAGAAACTGACGGTGACCTAGATAACTCTGGAGAAAAGGGGTTGATAAAGCAATGGTACAGATTTATACCTTGGCCTCACTTACACTACCGGCCAAATGTTTGGAATTATTTCCCACTTTTCATCAATACTAAATCTACTGCTAACTTTTTATAGATTTGAAGTTTATCTCAATTGATTCGAACAATAAAAAATTCTCAAAGTCGCTGACTTTTTTCTCGAAATTTTTTTGTGTAAATTGCAATGCTCGGTGATTCCAAACTTTTGGCCGGTAGTGTATATTAGCTGTTATATTACAATTGCTAAATGATCTGGAACAGGCAGGAGTGCTGGCGCCGAATTAAACGGGAATGTCACGAGGTAATAAGACAATGGAACGGTAACGATCATACGTGTGTCCGTTTTGCAATGCAAGAGAACTAAAATATCGTTGCACAACTGGTGGCTGCACAATGGCGCGAGGTATAGGCCGAGTGAAAGGCGACGAGATATCGCGAGGGGCATGAAACTAACACGAGAGTAATCGAATATACACGTCGTCGCATTTACAGTTACACGTACACCCATAAATCTCTACGCATACATCCTACTGGCTAATTCGATTCGGTTTCATTTCTGCGGTCTCTGAGGCTGACTGCTTCTCAGTTCCGATATCCCCCTTTTTTTCCCCTCTCCACCGTATTTCAAGACAAGCTACGTAGCCGTTCAGATTCAATTATTACACCAAGAATCGTGAATATCGAACCGAGTAACA